GCCTATATATCTCGTACGATTACGCAAAAACTACGCACATTCAAAAAATTGAACATTACCTTATTTTTAAGATGTCTTTAATGAACAGATTTCATTCAGGAAAAAAATATTCTATCTTCTACACGGTAATTGTAGGAAGACGCCGAAAAAAAAACTTTTGTAATTTTCGAAGAATTTGTGATTTCAACGAAAATGAGACCTGCACCATTCTCTTAAGCGTTCTTTACGCTATTCGAGGACAAAGTATTATTTTAAAAAAATGGAGTCATGTCTAAGAATATTTTGAAAATGTTGACGCTTCATGTAATGTACCATCAAAATCCAATATATCTGTTTCAAACTCGCAAAGCATCGAGTTCGTTCAAATCGATCTGGGAAAAAATTAACTGAACGACTTAGGCGTGAGCGTTGACCATACACGGTCGGACGGGCGCACGTTTTGCCGTCAATCAATTTTCAGTGTCAAGGACCAACAAAACAGAGATTCTGACTGCACGTGTTAAAGGAAGTAATTTACTATATACAGGAACAAGATTTATCCACTTTTTCGTGACCAGGGTCAAGCATCAGTTTTCCTGCCGAAAATTCGCCCATGATTACAATCTTTTCTCTTCTTACGAATTAAGTGCGATTTCTCGCACTAAAATGTGTGTTCTTTTGAGATAATAAATTTATTCACTCTTTCGCAGATTCAGCATGTATGAAAAGAAAATATTTCGAGCCTTGTGAGAATATATGAAAACACTAGAGGTTCGTGAAGTGTTGACATTGAAGTTCATTTTAAACACAAATCTTCCGAGTGTGAGAAATGAACGTATCATTGACACCGGAGAGGACAGGTCTGCTTGTTAGCAAGCTACTCTTTGTTATGGATTGTTGGACTCCGGTAACGTACATTGATTCCCACAAGTTATGTAAAATCATGGTTTCAAGCACATCATTCCGCTGTCGATACCGTAAGTAAAGTGCGTAACAGGCACGGGGAAACATGGGTCGGGTCAGAACTATGGAACATTTTCTAATAATGCCTAATAATGTAGGCCTAAATAAGATGTGTTATTGAAATGTTAAGCCTATGTACAGTAAGGGTGGACAATCCACTGATTTGTGTATTTAGTTTATTCGGCGTGTGAAGTGAATCAGCATGTTTTGCAAACTAGGCATGTTTTTTCACGTATGTATTCACTGTGCCTACTTCCGTCCGGTTGCGAATCGATTCCCCTGCTTCCCTGAGAGAAATATCGTTCGTTCACAGAAGAATCGAAAAACTACAGTTTTCTGAATTTAAAAAATAAAATTTAAAAAAAACACGGACGAGAGTAAACAACCTTGCCGTCTTGCGCTCGGCCCCGCGCTCCCGCACGACACCCCAAGGCTCGGAACGCCCAAGCGACACAGACAGCTCTCACCACATACTGGTACAGGTAGTGGGTGCCTGCCAATTTCAACATGCTATATGAATTAAAGGGGGGAAATTCAGGCTTTTTTTCTCGTACATACTCAGAGTTCTTTTAATAATAATAATAATAATAATAATAATAATAATAATAATAATAATAATATCACTAGAGAAATTCTAATGTTATATCCTGTAAATGAGCCATAAATTCACAAACTACACCGTCTTATACACAAAATCAAAGTCCAACTCAAGTCTTGCATTATAAAATATACCAAATTATTAATTTAAGCAGTCAAAAATATATAAAATAATGTGATTGTCACATTATATTAATAATTTTAACAATCGGTTATCCTTTTTCGACAATCAAAGATAATTTTCAATTTTTTTCTCCTTTCATTTTTTACATATTCTGGAACAATTGCCGGTCCGGTGGGCGAGATTGTTAAGGCAGTAGTGCCGCAGCGATCTCGGACCGAAGGACTGCGGGTTCGAGTGCCGCCTCGGGTATGGTTGTATTGTCTTCGTCCTTTCACCCCCTATCATAGCCACCGCCTCATCCTACAACTAAAATATTAAAAATCGAGATTTTTTCATTATTGAAATATGTTCTTTAAAGATGTCTTGAAATAAGACCCGTACATTTTTTCGGCAATATGAGTTGTTTTCGCGTAATTTTGCGTGAAATACAGGCAATTTTTAAACAATTATTTTCTCAAAAATGGCTCCAATTTTTTCTTTACATTTTCTCTTCGTCAATATGAAAGGACGATAAAATAAATTATGCTGGTCTAATTTCAGGCGAACACTAATTTCAAAATTAGAAAATTTTAACATTTCAAAACTACGAAATTGAAAATAAATGTTTGGGTTCAACAAAATCTGTTCTAAAAAATAAGCTCTTTAAAAAAGGTCATCTACAATTTTTTGAAAGAACCGGTAGTTTTCGTATTATTTCTGCTTCAAATTAATGCAATGATGATATTTTTCCTTAAAAAAATCTTCAAATGGTTTCTTTAAATATTTTCTATGCCCAGAGGACGCTTAAAACAATGGGATATGTCTCATTCTTGTTGACCTGTCTGAATTTTCGAAAATTGCGCGTTGGAAATAATCGGGGAGACAATTAGATTTTTAATCGTCAACGTAAGGGAATACTTCGAAGCGACGGCGTGGTGTAGCAGTAAATCTCACGGCGAGTTAACAGCCTTTTTTTTTGCCAACAATGACAGTTCTCCCGTGGACCATTGTAGGTCTTTCGACTGTAGATAGTTCTTGGGGAGGTTTTGTATACTCCATTTTTCTGTTGTGTCACCATTCGGCATTTTTTCTGTACCTGTTTCTGAAGAGTGACGTCCATTATCTGAAATGTCCGGAGAACATTTAATGACATGGGTTGGGTCTCAGGCAACATCTTCTAGTACGCTCATGCCATGGGTCAGGGGTCATGATATGGACGTTTTGTTTTATTAAGCCCATATCCTGATCAAATTCCGTATAACAACGTACTCAATTGGGAAGCCATATTAATCAAGTCAAATCACTTTTTTGACTGACACACTGACAAAACGGACACGAGAGAACTCAAGTAGGCACTCTATTTTTGTCTTCAAGTAAATTGAAGTTGCGATTTAGAATATCGCGCTCCTGCTTCCCCATGCCCTTCGATTTCCTACACTTATAGACTAGACCCGTAAAATGCTGCGTACCCCGATGTGTTTGCTGGAATCTTTAATTATACCTTCTTTAGCTCTATTCCTCGATCTATTCGGATGAATAGCGAAATTCTCATCACTAGTCAGTGGATTCACGCACTTTTGCGTTACCGTAGATGACATCACGAGGCGCCACTTCCAATTGACACGACTCTTGTGACAACAGTTTAAAATTTATCAGCGCGAACAGTAAGCAATGACGTTTGGTAACAATAACATAGAGGTCCTATGAAGGAGTGTTCCCAGACGACGCTTTATCAGCGGAAGAACACTGGTCAACCGCGTGTGGTGCAGGACTTTGGACTTCGTTTCTCCCCTGTATGGTTTTTTGTCACCTTTTTAGTGGACTTTGATGCTTTAATGTTACATTGTTCTAGAATGTAGTACTCGACCACTACAATTGCTTAGTATCAATACCTAAGAATTCAACAAATGTGGACTATGATTTTTCCCCTCTGTATCCTTCTTATAATTAAGCCAGTCCTGTTTGATTCGGAGAGAATTGGTCAGTGATCACCTATACTGTGGTGGCTCATAAGAATATTCAGATTAATAACTATTTCTGCATTAATTACAATTCGGATTTACCATGGTTAATTGTTAAATCAGGCCAAGTTTTTTTTTCTAACTGGACATAATATTTATTGCGCAGATAACTTCATGAATTAACACCAAACAAATTTATGATTTGCATCCTCATTATTACTACAGACAAGCACAATTAAATTAAACAATATTAATGAACTGCCAAAAATTCAATTTCATTAATTATGAAAAATTCATGAAATATTATTATTGTTTTTTTATTTGAATTCTGTGAATCAAGATTTCTTAAGGCACTTTTCAAAATTAGTGCATACCGTTTAGAAACAACAAGATTAACTAACTGAATAAAAACTTGGTTCCACTTTTCTACTTGTTGTGTCAACATTGATTTAAAATCCCTTATGAGCATCTGTACATTTTTACAATATTTTCTCCAATAGCTCTTAAGTTTTGAGATATATTGTATTCGAAAAGAAAGAAGAAAAAAAAACGTTACAATTATGTCTCTTTATTTTCTATTGTGTAGTACATTGTAACTGTTAAATCTTCTTCTGCTAACCTCTATATAACAATGCTGAATATTGCTTAACATAAAAAAAGATGAACAAATAAAGAAGTGAGAGTATTGTTTGATATTACGATGCAAAATGATTACATAGAATTTACCTTAAAATTATAATAACGGCAATTTTAGTTATGATAGGTAAAAAATTGAGTTAACAGAAAGATAATTTCCTAAACATGACTTCAAATAAACAAAAACTATCCAATGTTACAGGCAAAAACTTTGGTGAATTACAAGATAGCTTCAAAATAAGCTTTCAAACTGAATACAGAAATGCCCATTTCAACCTTCAAACTTCAGTCAGGTAAATGGTTTGTTCTTTTGATCGCTCTGGCTTAAGTAACCCCAAATTATGATAATAAATTTTGTATAAACTTTAGTTTACCAATAAAAAATGACACCATATATCATCTCTATATGATACAATATTATATTTATTCAACAAATATATTTTGACTTGACTGAACACAAAAGGGACTTTCCATTATTTTGCAATGCCACATTAAGCTATGCTACATCACATAATAAACATTCACATACACCTTTATAAACATTAAATTAATACCCCACAGAGAGGTCATAAATTCACCAGGCATTGCTACTAAATGCATTCATTCTGTGATTGCTAATGAATTCAATATAAATTTTCATCAGAATACAATACAAAATTACTCATAATAAAAAGTTATTTCCATGAAAATGGAAAATTACACTAATTAAATAAGACTTCATTATTTTAAATAGTAATTGATTTAATCTACAATAAGCTTACCTCACGAGATATATCAACCAGCAGGGGAACCTTATCCTTTAGTTGAAGAAACGTCAATTCTGCATCATGAAGTTCTGTTGTTCTATACAAGCTGCACATACATCAGTTATAAAAAGCAAACGAATTTAAATGGTTCATTTCACTGACATTAAACAGGATAACAAATCACAAACCTGAAGGCTTGGTGCAAAGTTTCTGAACATGGTCGATGCAACACTATTTCGTATTTATCTTGAGTAGGCCCATATAGAACAATTGCATCTTCTCGACAGTGAATTATTTTTTCGCTATATGACTTCGATTTTACATCCAAAACCTTATGGGGATCCGGTTCATAACTCAAAAAATTTCTCAACACATTTCCTGGCGTCAGAGAACCAAGCCAAGACATGATAAAACAAAATTTTCGAAAACTATATTCACAAACCTATCAAATCTCAATATGTGAAGGAGCGTGTAAAGGTTAAATTCACTTTATGACGTTTCTACTTATTTCTCCGTTAATGTCACCTCATATAACACACTTCCTTCACTGGTAGTATTTGGATTCTACTTGTTGCGTAACATAAACACCATCATAGGAATTGCAAGATATAAAAACAATACATGAACACACAAAGAAACATCTGCTGTGCATACAAATAAAAAGGTACGTTGCGGTAGGTTGGTTTTCCCGTCGGCTTCGCGAACCGCGAGTTACGTTCAATCAGGGGTAAGCCCACTAAGTGTTGAAGTTCGCGACCTGCGTTACATTCTGCCGCAGTGCTGCTCTCTAAAGACCGGCACGCCAGACTAATTGCCGTGACGTATATTTCCTTGTCCAATGAGGAATGCTCAATGCGCTGTGTGGTGCTTTTGAACGCACCTTTCTTTTCTGTCTACTCGTGATACAATTTATTTTAGAATACTGCAGGGAATTTAGAATATTCTGCAATGGTATTGACCCGCGATGTAAATTTAATACAATAAATTAATATGACACAAACTTTATTAAAATTAAATCAGGAAAAGAAATATGAAATTGGTCAGTGAAAAATGTCCTCACTAAAGCACATCAGCAATGGAGTTCCCCAGGCCTCGGTACTGAGATCTATCTTATTTATTTTATATATTAGCGACCATCAGAAAAGTATGCCCTCCCACTTCAAAATGTACGCAGACCACCAAATTGTATTCTATCCCACTGGAGAATCATCAGAATCACTTTCAAGAGGATTGCAATAGAATTTCTGAATGGTCGAAAGTCTGTTTTCTATCACTGATCAAGAATGGTCAGATGGGCATGTATATTGGAAGACTCAACCCTATCCAAATTTTCAAATAGGCAGCAGAAAGGTAGCTGACACCGAGATTATGAGGGATTTAAGGATAATAATATATAATGATCTTAGATGGGAAAGTGAGTTACACTGCAAAAACGGTTAATAAGACTACATTAATGTTGCGTAGACCTTTCAACACAATAAGAAGCGATGCATTCATCTCACGATATAAGAACTGCATTCTCCCGTTAGGCTAATTGAGATTACGAATTGGAATCCTCACTTCGCCAAGACATAAACATACGGAAATGTTTAAAGGAGAGCCACGCGAATATCCACAGATATCTGGCTTACGATCAACGACTGATGAGACTTGAGCTTCCGACTGTTGCATCTAAAAGACAACGTGGGGACATGATCGAAACCTTTAAGATTCTGTACGGAGATTACAACTCCGTTCAAATCAACATTTTTCGTCACTGGCGTCACTTTCGTCATCTGCAATCGCGAGGTCATAACATAAAACGTGTGAAATTTAGGCACAATCTAATCCAACACAAGAACTCTTTAGGCAACTGAGTTGCCGATACCTGGAACATTCTTTTCCAGAACATAGAAACTGCACCTAGTCTTCTGGATTTCAAAAGGGCTAAGAATAGTGTCTTCAGTGAGGAAAAGCATGGACTCTACTAATCTTCCAATTCAATTTTTCACCTATTATTCAACTATTGTGATGCTATGACCAGAGTCGTAGCTAGGGTCATGAGCACGACTGGCTGAATTTTGCGCCCCAAGTCATTTGCTAGGAAGAGAAACCACTCAATAACAAAGTCTAATTTATATTTAAGTTGTGTATACATTTGAGCATAAAATTAGTTCTTATTTACAATTATATAGGAAGGGAAACAATACAGGAGTTCGTTCATTTACACATTATATTATCTCTTACAATTATACTTTTCTTGCTTTTTCTGAGGCCAAGTTGTCAATAATAAAGTCTATATTAATACTTTTTGCAATGTCATACTCAATCGACAGTATGGCGAGATTACTCAAACATTCTTGACCAAACGTAAATATATTTTTATTAATTGAATCGGGCGAGGAGAAAGGAAACAAGTAAATTTTTTACAACTCTCTCTCTCTCTCTCTCTCTCTCTCTCTCTCTCTCTATATATATA